CGACAGACCCTACCTGCCGAGCGCAGTAGAAAATGCAGAGCAGGATGCCGACAATCAAGCTCAGGCAAGGGAGAGACTGCATCTCGACGACGACTGAGCTCGTCGGCAAGGTCATTCCTTACACTGACGCAAGCTCCGCACCGGAGTTGTCGGAGCGCATGAGGATGGTCAGCTGATGGCGGGCATGAGGTGCCATCTCCGCAGCCATCCAGAGAAGGCAGGATTGAGCGAGTAGCTCAAGGCACATAGGTGAGGTCTAAGCGAACCACGCAGGGATGGAAAGAATTGCTTCACCTGTGATGGCATCAAGGATATGTAGAACCATCTGCAAGCACCCGAAGGCCACTGAGCGTAGCCACCTAGTCCGCGCATATCTTCGTCCGCAAAGGCGTCTGCTTCAGTCACAAGATGCAGCAAGGGAGCTTGTTTGATTTCGAAGATGCAGGGTGTGGAGCTCAAGATTGCCGCCCAGGAATGCAGAGCCGAAATGGAGGGCGGGGAGATATAACGAAGAGGGTGCACGGAGTCCAGGATGAAGACCCACATGCGCCACCTGATGAAAGGAAACCGCTTGGGTTGCGCCAGAGAGGAGACGGCAGTGTTCTCAGCACGCGTAAGGCTTGCACCTTCCAGGAAAGAAGCATGATTCAAGGAGCACAGCCGGCATCCTGAATCATCACAGGCATCCAGACCTGAGTCCACAGCAGAGGCGACACCGCCACCATGGTGCAAGAGATGTCGCGAAGGGCTACAGAAAGCGGCCGGAGTAGAGGACGCAGCAGGCGCCACAGGCCGGTCGGCCAGAGAAGACTTCCAATGATGAATTCAAGGTCCTTGGATTTGGTCCGCGTCAGTCTGCAGAATGAAGCGATCTGATCAAGGATTTGACGAATCTTTTCGTCAGGCAGCTCCACAGTCCATGAGTCGAAGAAGATTCTCCAGCCAATCCAGGTGAGCTGATCACCAAGTGAACATTGGCATCACGAGAACCCCTTGTTGATGCAAAGAAGCAACATCACCTACAGATAAGCATTATTTGGAGCAGTGGATTTGCGAAAGAACCTGTAGCACTGCTGGGAGAGAGCGCCAAGGCTGAATTCAACAGTGTGTCACAGCCGCATGGGCAGCACATATGCTGAAGCTCAGCTGCAACATATACACCACCAATGCGGACGGAAACAGCGCCCAGCCCAGCTTGAAGATTGTGGCCAGGCCTATTTGGCCCGAACCCGAAAAAAAGGCTGTGAACTCCTCAGCCGGTGTCGTTAACAGAGGTGTCCTCAGGTCAGTGGCAAAGGCACTGTCGTCTGTCCGACTGACATCTGTGAGGTTGGGAGAATCTCAGTGGCTCAGGTCGTCAACATAGACCCAAAGAAAGTGCCTCGGAAATATGATGTAGTGTGTGACCCGGTGTGTGGCACCGGCCAGGCGAGCCCAGTACCAAGACAAAGCACGGACACCAGAGCTGAGGCAGTTGCTGACAAACTGGCGCCCCCTGAAGGAGAATGCAAGCAGAGCCCTCTCGTGCTGCGCAATCTTCATGCGACGGCGAGCCTTCTTCACATCGACGGAAGTACCCATCCAGGGATCTGACGGCACGAAGGAAGGTGCACAAGAAGACACATCCTCAATGCGAGGATTGGAAACGTGATTGGGAAACACAGAAGGGGAGGTAACAGCACTGATGCTGGAGTCCACAACCAGTCTGGGAGGGCGCCCTTCCGCGAGCACCAAGCCGAGGCTTCCTAATGCAACCTGGGGAAACTCCTTCAGTATCACATCAAGGGAAGCGTACTCCGTGATCCAAGACTCACGACGTTCCTCTTCAAGCGAGGAAGGCACGATGTCCGGTGCACTGTCAGCAGGCTTCCAAGCGCCCTCACAAAGATGCTAAGCCGGCAGCACGAGCTCCGAGTCGCGCTGGGGCCAATGCAACGAGGGTTCAAGCGAGGTGCCGAGACCCAGAGAAACGCCGGACTCCCATTGGTCACAAAGGGGAGCTTCAGAGTCCAGGATCTTTTGCAGCAAGAACTTCAGCCGTCGTAAGCCTAAGGGCTGGCCTGGTGCAATGAAGAGTAGGTCAGCTTGCTCGGCAGGGCTGGCCTGGAAGGCCTCAAAAAAAAATTATTTCCAACTAATTAGGTAAAGGTAACACAACACATGTGAGCAGACGCACTGCAATCGGACTCTTCTTTTTCAACCAAGCGGGGTATGTTCGGTGAGTTTGCAGAAA